TCCACACCGTATTTTTGGTACAAGTATGGAATTTTCAGCGTGGATATCGGTAGCCCAAAATTCGCAGGCCGACCAAAGATATCAGGTGTGCGTCGGCAAGGGCTCGAACCCGGGACCATGTGCATGATCGGCGAGAGTCCTAACCACTGTGGCACCGACGCACACTATTTCAGCACTGTAAAATACACGAAATCTTTATCAACCTCATTCAACTGCTATATGACAATGCCATGTACCACATGATCCACGATGGAAAATTCAGCATAGCCCTTGAAATAGTTACAAGAGTGAGACAAGGCTCCCTCCTATCACCGATGATATTCCGAATTGTGGTGGACTGGATTATGCGACAGACAGTGTGTGGGGAGTAAGAAGACAGGAACACGTTGGACCGATTCGAAGACTCTAGGGTATATGGGTTTCACAGATTATTTATGTCGAATGCCACACAAATTCGATGACTTACAGGTGAAAAACAACAAAATGGGAGAAGATGCAGGTATGGAAAATAAGACTTCAGGTGAACACAAAGAATGCGGAGGGGATGAAAATAACCAATCAGCAACAACAAGCAGTCATCACTACCAACAAGAAAAATTTGATAGTGGTCACTTCCTTCACTTATCCAGTCAGGAAGCATCGTTTCAACTACTTTCAACTACAGGAGGCCGGCATAGATGGTGATATGAAGACCAACTAGGATGGGGAAGGCAAGATACGCCTTCATCACTCTGAAACCAGTTTGGAAATCTTCTGCACTCAACAAAGAACAACCGAATTCGGATATTAAACGCCAATGTTAAGTTAATTAGTTATCCTGTATGGGTCAAAAACTTGACTCACACGTCATAAGAAGCAATTCCAACAGCCAGCTGAAGACTTTTATCTATAGCCACACTTGCTGGCTGTATATTGAAGATCCGATGGCCAACCGGCCAGAAAGAATTAGCAACAAGAAACTCGGAGAACAAACAAACCAATAACATATCTCTCAACAAATATTCCGAAAATGGATCGGACATACGCTTAGGAGATTGATGAATGACTCCGACAAGAGATATTTTCGTGGCTCAGTGAAACAGAAGGTATCTGAGGGTGGACAGTCATATTCTATACTCAATCCAGCTGCCTATTAGCCCATTCTTGAAAGAATAATATAAGCTCGTGACTATAGGCATCACCCAGTCAGATGATATGTTAAAAGTAATCGAATTTGTTAATCTATGTAGTAACACGTTCCTATGGTGCGACGAACCAAGTTCATGGGAGGTCCATAGCAATAATAATAACAATCATGATGTTGGTATAACCACCAAAAGTAAAGTTTACAACTCCTCGAGACATGTTATTCTGTCTCACAAGTAGAAAGACAAGTCTCTGCGTTTTGTGTCTTTAAAAGATTGCTTGTATCTCATTTTCTGTAGTGTATTTGTTATTACGGGGCTCACTGGTCACAACATTTAAGTTTCTGCCATAGGTTCCATATTTTATACTTAGATGGTTCAATGGTAAAATGCTCACTAGCCACGCATATGGTCAAGGGCTCAATCTCCCAGTCGATAAACCCTTAAACCTATGGTGGCAGTAATCCGAGTAAAGAGGGAAGGTTAGGCGTGGGGCCTGCAACCCCCCCCCCTTTAACAAAATAACACACCACTGCTACTAAAACTACAAAGCTCAAGCTTGAAGCTCTTTTTGCCACTCGAAACGCAAAGGAACAAAATAATAAATAAACAATGTTCTGAATACAGTGTGACGGAAAAAAGGATGATAATGGAATGTAATGAGTGAAAAAAAACAAGATTTCATGTGAGAAATTTAATGATGTGATTTTCTACTGAGATTAGATCATTCACATAAAGTAATTAGAGAATGTAATCGACAATTGGTGGATGGTGGCTAGCAGTGGAATCCAGGATGCGCATTTCGTCCTAATTATTATTATTATTAATATGACCCGTTGCACAAGAGGTGGCTCTCGTGGCCCAAGTGGTCTAGTGGATAATGCTTTGGCGTTTGAAACTATGGGCACTGGGTTCGAGCCTCGGTGGGAACATCATCACTCACTGAGAAATGCAGGTACATCCAGCTGATGAGTCCCAAATAGGACGAAATGCGCATCCTGGATTCCACTGCTAGCCAACATCCACCAATTGTATACAAATCAAATCCCCAGACATTGTCGAAGCATCTGCACAAGAAGCCGACATGTCAACCGGAGACCGAGCACTTCGGTCCAATCAGTCGAGAGGAAAATCAGAAATTCAATTCAATAATGTAATCGACAATATTTATGAAGTTAGGTACAACCGAAACAGTTACACATATAATGTGTCTTTATCATTCAGAGAAGGAATTTAGTGATGAACTATTTATTAATCAATTGATATTAAACTTCCTTGTTTCGGAAAACAACACAAGTAGGAGATGCGAGAAAGCTGCCTGAAGTTCTAGTGCGAAGTTGTGACCAGTGAGGTTCATGCGGTCAGCAGTGAGGGTAAATACTCACCACCGATGAAATTAGCTGATGGTTGCACTTAAATCACGAACTGGTTGATGTCAGAATTCATGGGCCGTTAGATAGGGTCCTAGCAGCTGAATGATCTACGAGTTTGCCTTGTAACCGCACAGTCATGAGTTTGAATTTCCGTGTGTGCGTACAACTAATGAGTCTCAAGCTAGGATAAAACAAATGTCTAGTATTCCCTGGTTTTAAATGATTCTTTAACTGATATCAATCCATGGTGGGACTTGAGACAATTCAAATAGTTACAAACTAACTCCTGAGAATGATTTGTCAGAAAAATTTCCCGCCTGACTGAATGGGTAGAACAAAGACGGTAATTGACCTTCCATGATTTTGTATTACATACTAAAACGAATGCCTTTTGGCTTTATTAAAGGTGCTTCAATTTTCTTTTTTGACACAGCCGGAATATCTGTTGCAGCGTCTGCTATACTAATCAAAGTAAACACCTTGGAATGACTTTTATCCCCATCCCAGTATTTCTGTGTCTTTTTTATCGTGTAGACAACAGAATACGTGCGTGAAATCGAGAGGAAAGCTGTCTTTCTTCCCTATTTTCTTTTGCTTACTTATTTCGCTGTTTCATTAATTACCCCGACCGATAGCTGCTGTCTTGACGAGGTGGTCGAGCTTGCATATCGCAATGACCCAACTTACTTACTTTACTTTACTTCGGCTATCTCCTACGGGAGGATGAGCCGGCTCATGAACGTCTCGAATCATCGCTGCCCAGGCGCGGCAATTTGTAAGAGAGTTCATGAAGTTTCATGGGAATTTGGTACGAGTGATGACCCAACAAGTTGCACTGACTGGAACTAATGTTCCTGAAGATCCTGCCATGCCAGAAAGATTGTTATGATAGCGATTAGACTAAAAGCATAGTGCAAGACTTTTGTTTTACATTTTACTGGGGATCTGTGGGCAAATTCGTACTGATGGGGAAGAGGATGTAACAGCAGTATTTTGTTTCCCTCAGATGCTAGCTGTGCAGTCTCTCCACTCCGCAAAGAGAGATGGTTACAAAAGGTCGACCCTGAAAATTGTACATCCCAATTTAACCCACTTACGGTGGTCCGCAGCCGAAAGTAAGTTACTAATACAGAACCAAACCCAAAAGTCAGTTCAGACACGCCGTGTGTGACTGGCCTCCAGTAGTTGTCTCCTTGGGTTCTATGGTCAAACAACACTAATAATATTTCAGGTTCCGCAAGAATAAAGAATTAATCACTAATCACCACCGTGATCATTTTTCCCATCCTTCCATTTGTATCATACAATCGTTTATATCATTCTTATTGTACTACACACATTGTGTATTGAATAAGACAGGTAGTTCAGCGAAGAGTCTCTTTTCGGCGAATTCATTCATTCAGGTAAACAATTCCAAATATATATGGTTATTTTGTATGTTTGTGTACATCAAGTTTTTCAAAAGAAAATACAATTATTAAGATTTTGGTGGAGTTACGTGATACAAAAAGCGTTCAGAGGACCAATTCTATGAGTATACGTCAGTTCACCTGTCACTGTGGAGCCAAGTACATCGTTTATTCCACTAGCATCCTTTCAAAAAGGGTCAAAGAACACTATCCAGCGTGGCTTCAGAAACGAAGTAGTGGCCATGTAAGGAGCGCAAAAATCGAACATCTCGTCACCACTAATCATTCCATCTCAAAAAACGCCTGCTTCACAGTAATCTACAAAGTGAAGAACAACCTGCCAAAGACAATGTGTTTCCGTCTTCGTGGCTTTGAAGAGGCCCTAGCCATTCAGTTGGAAGAACCAGAACTATGTATACAAAAGAAAATTATTCAACCACTTCTACTAACATGGCAACAACTCTGTTGATTTGACTTAACGTTTGCTTATTTTTATAACTGCTTAAAACTCTTACGTAATCCCGTATTTTATTTTGTTTCCATGTACACCCTGAGCACAACTCTTTCATTAAACTATTCGCATTATTACGTAACTCTTCCTTAATCATCGTTTGTGACAACTCGTCACTTTTGTTACTACCCTCTTATATCAACATCTAATTCCTCCGAACGCTTTTCGCATTACGTAACTCCACCAAAAACTTACTAATTGTATTTTCGTTTGACAAATTTAATGTACACACACATACAAAACAACCATATATATTTGTGATTGTACAGCTGAAAAAATGAATTCGCCGAAAAGAGCGAACTCTTCGATGAACTACTTATCTTCTCCTTATTAATGTTCAAATATAGATTTTTCATGAATAAATAATTTTCAAAATTTCACCAATTTTACTATTTCATTTAAACAAAATGCTAAAATCCGGTCATTAAACTTTATAATATACAATAAATATATACAAATATGTCTCCGCGTCTACAATAATATCGAAATGAATGTAATGTACAAACACAAATAGTGCAAAAATAGAATATGCACACTTTATACAATCAGAGACAATAGAAAAATATAAATTTGTCAATCAAGTTTACAGTATTTCTGATTCATCCGGCTTTTTCGCTTGATTTTCACAAAGAGAAGCTTCCTTCAATGACATTTGAAGCTTTTCCATTTCTAAGCATTCACGACCAACTTGTTCAATTTCTTTCAGTTGTAAACCAATTAGATCTTTAGTCATTTTATACTGAAATTAAAACCATTTATAAATTAGTATATATATATATAGAGAGAGAACAAAAGGAATTAAAAAGACAGTTGTGACGGAGAAAAGTTTCTATTCAACAAAGTCACCAACCAAGGCTGTATACTCACTCATGAATATATACCAAAGGGACGAGAAAGTTCCAGAACTATTTTCCGTCAACAGTCAATTTTGATGAGTCACAAGATTATAAATAAGGATTTTTTTCATTCACCTTCCCCAGTGGAACATAGGGCTTCAAGCTAGTGGCTTGAAGTTTCTGTAGCAGTGTTTATTTTACAGGATGGGGTTGCTAGCCTCATGCCCAACCTTTCCTCTTTACCAGCATTATTTCTGGCTTAGGGAGGTAAAGGAATGCATCGGCCAGGGATCGAACCCCGGACCATGTGCATGGTCGACGAGCATCCTAACCGCCGTTCCACCGACGCTAAATGAGGATTAAAAACGTGATAATATAACAAAAATAAACAGGTAGTTCACACACAAAACGTAATCAAATAATAAATATTAAGGGAACTGACTTTTATTAACGGGTCAGGGATAAAGACATAGGCTGGAAGTACTTTTTTCAATATATAGCGTTAGCTTGTATTTTCCTTTTTTTATCACTAATGGTTCAGCATTGCCCAGATATCTTGATCTCACTCTTTATGAGAGGTTCGATCAGATTTTGGATAGGACTTTGAAGGATTTTTCAAAATGAACAGAGTATCCTAAAATTAATTGATTCAAGACACTTATCCATACTTCCTCTTTGTTATTATCAACATTTTTAATCCTTTTTAATTGGTGTATGGTGACTAGCAGTGGAATCCTGAATGCGCATTTCGTCCTTATTGGGACTCGTCATCTGGATGTACCTGCATTCCCAAGTGAGTGATGATGTTCCCACCGAGGCTCGAACTCCGTGCCCGACATGTCAATCTGAGGCCGAGCACTTCGGTCCAATCAATCGACGGGAATATCTAAAATTAAATTTAATTTTTAATCCTTATTTATAGTCTGGACATTTGTCATAATTTCACTCTAGATTGAAAATAGAGCTTGAAACTACACTTACAAGTATTTAAAGAACAGTGTACTTCTGCAAGATGTATGCGTGGTTAGTGAATCTGTACTATATTCAACCTTTTATTGTATATGCTATATGCTCAGAAGAAGTAACTGAAGATGAATTAAGCATTGTATATGATACTTTGATCAAAAATGGCTATCCCGAGAAATTTATCACGAAACACATGACAAAGAAAACGGGAAAAGGACTACTCACTATCTGTAAAAAAGAAGCCTCTTTATATACGACTACCATTCATGGGTGATATACCAAGTGAGATAATTGCGAAGAATTTAATAAAGTCAGTTCGAAGAACTTTTACTGCTGGCGAACTACACGTCGTGTTCTCTACACGACTGATGGTGATTCCTCGACTGAAAGATGAAGTAACTAGACTAGCCACTTCTAATTGTATCTACTAATTCGACTGCGCTTGTGGAGCCAGTTATATTGGCCGCTGCTCTAGGAACTTGATTTTTCGTGCTAGAGAACATCTCCCACTACGGCTAAGTAAAGGTGTAGTGAAAACTATTAACAGCTCGATATTGGAACATCTGGTGCAAACAGACCACAAAGCCAGCGTAGATGAATCCTTCTCTATATTATACCGGGTCCCAAATAAATTACCGAAAATATCGAAGCACCGCAGGCTCCAAACAGCAGAGGCTATTGCGATTCGCCTCAAACAACCAGCGCTCTGTATCCAAAAGAAGCAAGTCCAGCCCCTACTATTGCCCTGGCCTTCAGTAGAAACTATTAACTCATGAATTTGTAATATTATCTCTCCTAATTTTTCTGACATTCAGCTTATTTTATGTTGATGCGATTCAGCTGTAATCTATCAATATTTTTGATTCGATGTTATTTAAACAACAACATTAATGTTGCTCATAACACTAATTCATTCATTCACTATAATGTATGTATAAATGTAGAGCCTGATGATGAATTTATCGAAAAGAGTACTCTTTGTTCAGTATCCATTCTTTTGAAAAATTTTTAAAGTGTTGAATAAATTTTACTGCAAATAATTTCAATTATGAGAAAAATCCCTATTTGATGTAATTAAAAATAAATGAGTCAGCAAAGTGATGCTCTTCCTTTCGTAACTTCACTTCAAAGCTGTACAGTTGTGACGTGTGCTACTGATAATATCTACCAGTAGTATATATGTATAAAGAAATGGTCATCCGCATAAAGACACCAAATAACACAGAGAGATAGATTTGATGACAGAGAAAGCAAATGATACAGCATTGCATAGATACATGGGAGACGTGAAAGAATCACAACAAACACACACACAATATGAAGGCCAGAAGTAGTACAACACGGAAGATCTGTTGCAAATGATGATTTGAAAATAAGGTGTGCATAATTTCGCTATATAGAGATACCAAATTTCAAATAAACATTCCTTCACGAAGTCTCTCATTTTTTACCGTTACCCAGTTACTTAGGGAGTTTATATATGCAATACAGATTGACTGTAGAGGTCAAAGGTTATTGTCAGTTAGCGATGAGTATTAACTATGTTTGAAAAATTGAGAATAGCTTGCAAATCCCCATTGAGTCATAAGAAAAAGAGAAAACGTCCCGAAGAAACCACTCCACACGAACTTTCAATTCAATGGAGATATATCTGCGGAAACACTAAAAAATCAACTGTCACGCTCACTCAAGAAGACCTTCTTCGCAGCTGAACTACGACTAACTTTCTCCACAAAACCTATGATTCATGTGAACGTGAAGGATAAGCTACCACTGTTGGCCTCATCAATGTGTATTTATTAATTCACCTGCTCGTGTGGAGCCAGGTATGTCGGCCGTACCCAGCGTTCGCTTTCCTAGCGTATCATCGAACACTTACCAACATAGTTTTACAAAGGAGAAACACGATGTCCCCACAGCTCCATCTCAGCACATCTGATAGAATCCGGACACCAAGCTGCACCCCAAACAAACTTCAAAGTAGTCTACAGAGTAAGAAGTAGTCTTCCTAAAGGTGTACGAATCAGACTTCTTCAAACTGCAGAAGCAATGGCAATTCACTTGCTAAGCCCTGAACTCTGCATACAGAAGAAGTTTGTTCAATCACTACACTTACAATGGACCTTATCTATCTTATTACCTGACAAGTAAATTCTACCTAATATTTTTTTCTTCTGTTTCTTCATTAGTATTATTTTGTCTCCTCATTTGTAATATTCTACATCTTCAACTTTCTTGTTCTCTACCCCCACCCGATTTAATTTCTACACCTCACTATAACTGTTACTGACTTGACCAACGCTCAATTTCTAGTCATTTATGTTACGTCATCCAACTTAATTGCTCAATATCAGTTCTAATTTAAATGGCATTATTATCTACTCCACTTCTAATTAGTCTCTACCTGTAATTACCTCTGTTGTTACCCTGACCTAAGTTGAAACATTTAAGTCAATTAAATTACGTCATCTAACTTAATAACTCAATCTTACTTTAGTTGCTGTCCAATTAATCTTGTTTCTATATTAGATCATTCTTGTATTACCTGATTAATTATCTAAACTTGACAAACCTCATGTACACACACACACACACAAATAATTATATATAAAATTGAGAATAATCTAACTCAATCAAGAGACAGAGAACTCACAACTAATTAGTTGAGTAATGAATAATAGTTTGGAAATAGTTGATAATAGACAAGAGAACACAGGATGGAAAATGAGTTGCAAAAAACATAAAACCGACTACATAGACCAGCTTATTAAATAGTTATTCAGGAAGACCAAAAAGGAAGAAAAAAGTACTACTAAGGCTATGATAGTAAAACAGCTGGCTGGATGAAACATTTCTGAACACAAGGTTCAGGTTTCGCCTTAAGGATTGCTAAGGTTTCAGCTGCATGAAGAAAATGTGCTGTGCTTCGTGTGTGCTTGCTCGTACGTGGTTTGCCCCTTATTGTGCTATCATAAGGCACACTGTTGGGCTTGCTATCTGACCCAGTTATTGTGCGTCGGTGGCACAGCGGTTAGAGCTCTCGCCTACCATGCACATGGTCCGTGGTTCAACCCCTGCTGACGCACACCCGATATCTATGGTCAGCCTGCAAAATTTGGGCTACCCATATCACATGCTGAAAATTTCATACTTGTACCAAAAATACAGTGTGGAATCAAGCTTTAATAAAATCAAAATCAAAATGTAGGCGAAATCCTTCCGAATAATTTCGTCCTACTTTAAATATGACGCTGAAAACAGTCTCCCTAATGATGCTGCATGCATGACCAGAAGTAATAATAATATGCTGCAGAATTCAGCTGTTGACTATTCCACATTCCCCTTTCTGTAAGTGTTCATGGATGCATCTAAACAATGTCCTGGTGGTACAGCCTGTGTACTTACCTTCACAAGAACAGTTATATCTACCCATATCATCGAACTTTGATAAGTGAAGCTTTGAGTCTGATTGATGGTCTACGTTAACATTCTCCTATCAATTCACTCACTCTTGATTAAGTAGGATTACTCTCAATTTTTCTGACATAGTTACTACTCGTATACCTTGACTTACTTTTTTTAATAATTGACAATAACCTTTGACCTCTGTTCTGTTATCAGTCTATATTGCAAATATAGAACCGTTAAATAACTGTACAGCTTTGAGGTGAAATTACGCAAAGAGATAGATCTGTGTGCTGACTCATGTGTTACTATTTTCAATTATTTCAATAAAACAAAGCTGCCAGATAATTTTTACTCTCCCTATGATAATCAAAGCAAAACATTTAGTACTATTGTATAAATTAATCTTCTTTGATTGTACACTAGTCAGTAACTAGTGTAATTTGTCTAGTCGTATCTTTGGTGCAGACTCGATTCTATCAGTCAGTTTTGCAATGTGGCCACCATTCTAGGTAGCCCACCATCCATCACGGTGCATATTGATTTAAGAATATTAGATGGCTGGAGGCAATCGGCAGAAAGCCTTGGACTTAGGTTTCGTGATAGTTGACACTCATCAAGCAAGGCGTATCTGCGATCTTGAAGGAACTCATATCTTTCTGAAATTTGAACCCGCGTCGCTCAGTGCTGCAGTCAGAGACGTTACCACTGACGTATTCAGGCTCCCGATTGACCTCCTGTAGGACTGTACTGTATATTTTTGATTGCACACTAGTTACAGTCCTACAGGAGGTCAATCGGGAGCCTGAATACGTCATTGGTAACGTCTCCGACTGCAGCACTGAGTGACGCGGGTTCAAATTTCAGAAAGGACATGAGTTCCTTCAAGATCGCAGATACGCCTTGCTGATGAGTGTCAGCTATCACGAAACCTAGGTCCAAGGCTTTCTGCCGATTGCCTCCAGCCATCTAATACCAAATTAATCTTCATAATTTTAGAGTTACACAAGTGGAACGATAATGAGGAATAAATTGTGTTCACAGAAAACGTCGTCTAATAACTGATGCTGTTTTATTATGAGATGTATCTCTAATAAACGGATTACTAATAGACCTACGCGATGTCTAATTACTACTCTGATATTATTGATATAATAAACCTGATCATTATATCATATAACCTTAAATATGATGAACAGCAAACAAAAGTGTAATATCTCAGTGTAACATTTACGATTCAAGGCCAGAGCAAGATCATACTGTTATCAATGTAGACGAAGGGAGATCAATACAAATAGGGCTTTTTCACTTGTGGCTGAAGTTTATTTCGTGTGAAGTTGTTAGGTGAACCGACGAAGTAAGAGAGTCAGGTAATGAAGAAAACTAGGAAGTAGTAGACTGCTGCTTCGTAAAGATTCGCGACTCTTCAACAGTTCACACCCATAACTCCACCGGAGACCAAACAAACAATCTTGTGAAGTCACATCGACATTGCTTCACAGTTTGATTTTTTTAAGACTATGAAGAATTCATGTGTTAAAATGACTTTCTCTGGTATATGGCCCCTGAAGAATCGTTCACAGTATGCACCAGTTTGACTTTCGATCAAACCTACTCATTATGAGAAGTTGGAATAAGTGGCAGTAGTTGTACATTGATTGGACACTAGTGACTAGTGTGACGTGTCTATTCCTTTCTTTGGTGCAGACTGAACTCTATTAGCCAGATTTGTAATGCGGCCACCATTCTAGGTAGCTCACCATCACAGTGCACACTGATTTGATGATATGAGACGGTTGAAGGCGATCGACAGGAAGCCCTACTCGACCTAGGTTTCGTGCTAGTTGATGATCACCAGTCAGCAAGGCGTATCTGCTACCTTGAAGGAGCGCATGTCCCTTCTGATATTCGAACCCGCGTCACCCAGTGAGTTCTGCAGTCAGCCACGTAACCACTGAGCTATTCAGGCTCGCGATTGACCTCCTGTATGACTATACTGGATACTTTGATTGCACGCTAGTAACTAATGTGATGTATCTAATTCTCTCTTTGGTGCAGACTGAACTCTATCAGTCAAGTTTGTAATATGGTAACCATGCTAGGTATCTCGCCATCACAGTACACTGTGCACTGTTGTTATCTGATAGTTGGTAACGTCTCCGACTGCAGCACTGGGTGATGCGGGTTCGAATCTCAGAAGGACATGAGTTCCTTCACGGTTGCAGACACATTTTGCTGACGAGTGATAACTAGCACAAAACCTAGGTCCAAGGCAATAGTTGTATATGAGTAGAGAAATCGGGAAATTCCGCATAAATAGAAAACAGAATAAACAACATGTCTAACGACTAAATCATGTCAAAATAAAACTATTAATATTTAAATTATAGGATTAATGGGAATTTGAATTAATTTAATTTCAACTGTTAGATTTCCTCACGAACCAACATTATTTAGAGAGATCACTGAAAATCAATAAGGAGCACTGGACAGCTGTTTCATCCTAGTTGGGACTCCAGTAGTGTACACACAGGACTCCTCCAGGGAGCGAACCCACGACCTACATGCTACGAGACTAAGCTACTTGAAGATTCAGCCACTTGAGCCACAATACAATGACCTGTGGATTCTGACTTTCGAATGTTAGTTTGCAGGGAACTGACTGGTTACAGAATTGATCACGAGTTGATATTAGCTGGATCCCAGTGGCTGAGTAGTCTACCAGCTCGTATTGTAACCGGAACTTCCTGGGTTCGAAACCCGGCGGGTGTGTACTAGTGAGGAGACCCAAACTAAGACGAAACAGCTGTCTAGTACTCCTTGGTACGCCTATTGTTCTCCAACTGATATCCGCTCGGGATCAATCAATCGTGTAACCAATTCTAACTTTGTCATTTCATGATACAGCCCAATTCTCTACTAATGCCCTCGATGAACATCTACATCACTTTGACACGGTGGAACCCCATTGGCTACGACTCTTCAACACAGCTTTAAGGTATTCACCCAGTAGCCATTAATGTGCTGAAGACTGATATTAAGATATCATAAGATTTGTGGAGATTAATTTCCGTTGTTCAACTTTTCGTCACGAACCAGCGCTTTTACATATTCTTTTTTTGATTTAAAGTGTGACATTATAATAAAAAAGAAAGAAATTTAAACATATTCACACAAAAATAGACAGACAGAGAGATAGCTAATAAAAAATTCTTTTAAAAAAACAACAACATCAGTTAACTTACATTTTCTAAACTCTTGCCAAGATCATTAAGCTTAGATTGACTTGAAAAGTATGAAAAAGAAAACAATTAAGCTAACGATAATTAATTGAAAATTACTTAAGATGAATTCACAGTGAATAAACAATATGATAATTTAAAAGAATAATTCGACTCACTGAATGTTAAGGAACTATTTACACATGAAACTGTGAAATTCCGTAAAAGTTAGCTGAAACAACTATTGTTTCTCAAATAAAATGTAATAGACTACATTTTCTTCTTGATAACAGCTCAAATAGTCAGTGGACATTATAAAAAGTTGATGAACATGACGCATTTTATTATTGCTGTTCTCTTGGGTTTCGAATGGATCACAGGGCTACAACAAAATATCTCCAGTTTGTCCTGTTCTCAGTAGTTCTCTTTAGTTATCTCCACGATTGCCCATAGTCTATCATCTCCTTACACGATCGATCTCCTCCACGTCACCTTCAGGTGTCCAACTTATGTGTTTCCGATTCGGATTCAACTCGAGCACTAGTCTGGCGCGTGATGTCAACCAACAGTCCCCTAAGCGTATGTCCAATTCATCTCCAGAATATTTGTTAAGCAATATGTTATTGGTTTGTTTGTTCTCCGAGTTTCTTGCTGCTAATTCTTTCTGGCCGGTTGGCCATCTGATCTTCAGTATGGGCCACCGAAGATAGCTGTTGACAAAAGTCTTCAACTGGCTGTTGGAAATGCTTCCTATGACGCGTAAGTCAAGTTTTTCACCCAGATAAAATAAATGACTAATTTGATATTAATGTTGAAGATCCGAACTTCGTTTTTCGCGCTTAGTGCTGGTAAAGGTCTCTCTGTCTTGCTTTTCCTATCTTCGTTAGCTTTTAACATCCTCATTTATGCCGGCGTCCTGTAGTTGAAACGATGCTTCCTGACTGCATAAGTGAAGGAAGTGACCACTATCATATTCCCTCCACTGATAGTGATTGGTGTTGGCTGTTTTTGGTTAATTATCTTCACCACCACCTTCGCCTTCTCTGTGTTCACTTGAAGTCCTATCTTTGAGATCTGCATCTTCTCCCAGTTTGTTGGTTTTCATCTGTTAGTCATCGAATTTGTGTGGGATTCGACATAAATCGTCTCAGAAATCCAAATGCACTAGTCTTTACATATGTCCAATATATTCCTGTATTATCGCTCCCCACTCGCTGTCTGTCACATGATCCAGTTCACCACAATTAGGAACATCATAGGTGATAGGAGGGAGCCTTGTCTTACTCTTGTAATTATTTCAAGGGCTTTTCTGAATTTTCTGTTGTGGATCACATGGTACGTGGCATTGTCACATAGCAGTTGTATGAGATTGATAAAGATTTCAGGCATTTCATAGTGCTGAAGTAGTTTCCCAGTTACTTTGTGGCCAAATGCTGTCGAAGACCTCTTAGTAATTGATGGAATTGAGGTAGAGATTCGACTGCCATTCTTTACTGTGTTGTTCGGTGATGATACGCAGAGTTCGAATTCGATCAGCACTTGATTTGTCTTTTCTGAATCCAGCTTGTTCCGGACAGAGTTCTGCATTCAGTGCATGTCTTATTCTCTCCAGGATGACTCGATGTAGTACTTTACTTGGCGTGGACAAGAATATGATTCCTAGCTAGTTCTTGCAGAGGTCTAAGTCGCTGTTGTTTGGTAGTTTGATAAGGTGGAGATTCTTCAAATCAGTAGGTAGCTTTTCTTCCTTCCAAACTTTTTGCAATAGTACCGTAAGCATATCTAGTGAGACCTCTGAGTCTCTTTTCAGTGCCCTTAGAGGAATTCAATCTGGTGCTGCTGCCTTTTGGAATTCAGTAGCTTCATTGACGAACATAATGCATGCTTAGATTATATAAGCCAGTGAATACTTATAAATTTGATTTACAAATAGTTCAACTGAAACTGATAATCAGCATACATAAAAACTCCGTGATTCTCTATTTACTGAATAGATTTTATTTTTAAACAAAACCTTTTATCCGCAAAGTAAGTTTCAGTTTAACATTCAGAAGGAATCATCATTTGAAAGTGTGGTAAGTTCCAGGCTGTAGGTAATTCATTCCTACAGTTATGATACGTCTGATTTATTGTACAAATTATTATACTCTTATTATTATTCCCTTGGTCTGCGAATAGAACATAGTGTTTCAACCGCACATCTCCATTCCACCTTTTGCTATGAAGCCCTATTTATCTGGCTTTATGATTGCCCATAGGTTCTCATCCCCTCTTCACACGATCTCCTCCATGCCACCCTCGGACATATGCCCACCTCGTCGTTTCGCATTCGGGTTCTACTTGATGGCCAGTCTTGGGAGCGATGTCACACAACGATCTCCTCACGACATCTGTTATTTGCAAAATTAAACAGTTAGTTCCAACTGATTCGACTCACGTGGGGCTGAAACGAACCGAGTACACTACTGACGAGCTCAGCAGCAAACCAGCGAAACGGCTATCCCGTGCTTATATCACCTCGATCTGGCTAGAGAGTAAGCATTACTGGTTGGTGTGAGTGGTATATCCACCTACTAATATCAATCAGACAATAGTATGCAGCACCAAATATTCCAACCATCAAATGTAGCGGTAAAAGTTAGTTGTTAACCTTCCTTTGTATTTCTTTTTCATATTATTATCGTACCATACAGGCTTTCCCCCATAGAACGTCGATATTAATACTAAGAAAGCTTAACAAAATGGTATTAGTGAAAAGTTGCTGGACTTTGATACTGAATGAGGTATGGGAATATAAGTTTTTCCAAGGCTGGAAATGTATGAATGATAAATAAAGAGTTTTCAAGTATTGGTTTTGTAGGGATTTAACTTTATTTGGTTGGAGGATTTCATCATGAGCTGACATCAGTTAAAGAACCATTGGTTCGAACCGCAGTGGATGCATACTGATAAAGCGTCCCAAACTAGGCTGACAAAACAACTGTCCAGTACTCCCAGGTTGTCCAATGATTCTCTAACTGATGTCAGCTCATGACGAAATCCTCCGACCAAATAAAGAGTTATCTAGGAAATATTTATTCACACTAAATACGTAAACATACCATGCACGAGTCTGAATCCATACAATGTAATCATTAAGGTATAACTCTGCGAATACATGATAACCAGGATAGGCAATTAACAATTCACGAATTTCTAACAGACACTTTAAACACCATTCTTTAGCTAATAAAATTTAGAAGAAAAAAATGAAGACAAAAAGGTACATTTTCATTTTAGATTGATTCTATTCATGAATTTTAAGAAAATTTGTAAATTTTATCCTTGAATATTTTTGATTATATATCACCACCTTTAATGCTAGTCAGTTCTTTACTGAATACGTCAGTGTATTGACACAACTGAGCTTGTCAGATTACTAAACACAGTTTCTTTTATTCCTACTATAATTGCTTTATTGACGTCATACAACAGTTATCTGCCTAGCTTAACAGTTAAGAATACCTCATGGGGGCAATAGATGCATACACACTCTCGATATTATTGAGCAACGGTCAAACTTGTCACAATTTTGACATACATGTCAAGTGGGGGGGACATACAATAGAAAAGGAAAAAGGTATGTACAAGCCATAGTTGCACGAAGGTACAAGATGAAGAAAAGAACAGGTAACGTAAATAGGGGAATATTTTTAAAACAAAAGTCAAATTTTTTTAACTTCTGATTACAGCTTGATTCCACACCGTATTTTTGGAGCAGGTATGGAATTATCAGCATGTCATATCGGAAGCCCAAATTCTGCAGGCCGACCAGAGATATCAGGTATGCGTCGGCAGAGGATCGAACTCCGGACCATGTGCATGATCGGCGAGAGTCCCAACCCCTGTGCCACCGACGCACAAATCTGTCAGAATAACTTTGCGATCGGTGTCATTAAGAGTCTCCAACCACAAATACTTCTGCATTTCCGTATGTATGGGGCACACTAACAGTCACAAACTGATTTCCCTTTTTAAGTCTAGGTACTCTTAAATTTTTATAGATCTGATCCCGTGTTTTAGTTAAGACTTCGCCTTAGACTTACATAGACACATTTATTATTAATTCAATTTTGATTTTCCCATCGATTGATTAGACAGAAATGTTCCACCTCCGCTGACATTTCAGCGAATAGTGTGGACGCCTCAACGATGTGTGAAGATTAACTTAAAGAAATTTCGGTGAATGGTGACGAGTGGTCGGATCCCGAGTGGGCGTTTTGCCTTATTTTTGACCCGTCAACTGGATGCACATGCGTTCCACAGTGAGTAATGGTGTTCCTGCTGAGGCTAGAACCCAGCAGCCATCGTTCCCCACGCTAAAGTGTTATTTGACAGGCCATATGGGCCATGAGAGCCGCCCCTTATGTGACGGGTTTGATTTTCCAGATGGTACATTCGTATGATGGGTCCCGAAAAGGACGAAATGTGCATTCTGAAATCCACTGATAGCCACCATCCACCAAATTACTTCAGGTTACACAGGCATACCTCAAATATGGCAATATAGTGACAGTAAGGACAAAATATTTGTTTATTCCGCTTCGCAAATTTTTAGCTGCTTGTAAATGAAAGAAAATTTTACCATTATGACCGAAAAATATGGAAATATTTATTTCGATTCATCCGATAAATAAAATTGACTGATGGGGAAAGTACTTAGACATAATGTCAAAAGCCCCACATATCTTAGTGACACAGAAATAAGTCTTAGAATCATACTAAGTAGGAATATGAAGCTTCTGTCTATCTGTCTGTCTCTTTTCGACAAAGAACTTTGCACATATGTGCGGCAGTTAAAGTCGCCACACTCCATGTAACACGCAAAGCAAGAGAAGAAACTAGAAGAAATGCATAATAGAGACAGTAAACAGAGGTGTGAGACAAAGGAGTAGTAATAACGAAGAACAATATAGTTTCATTGGAAATCATAAGTGACAAGGAGTGGATGCGTCTGCGCTAGCCACTGAGAACGAGGATTTTGAGCAACATCAGCGATTGTCTCCAGCCATTGGTTTTTACCGTCCCGAGGACCCCAGGAAGTCTACACCTTCCTACGTGGCCTAAACTAACTGTTGTAGATTTCATTGATTGACCAGGCCATGTTTTTGTTTGACCGCCACTAGCTCTTTTCCAGTCTGACCCTATGTCAAGTAACATTGCCTGTCGAGGGAGGCGATGACTAGGCATACGTAACACATGTCCTAACCATCTCAGTAGATGCAATTTCACAACCTCGTCGATTGATTTCCCCTGCTTACTTAGAACTGAACGCCTAACCTCAATATTGCTCACCTTTTTTTTATTTTTGGTAACAGCTTGATTCCACACTGTATTTTTGGTACAAGTATGGAATTTTCAGCGTGGATATCGGTAGCCCAAATTTCGCAGGCCGACCATAGATATCTGGTGTGCGCCGGTGTGGGCTCGAACCCTGGACCATGTGCATGGTCGTCGAGAGTCCTAACCATTGTGCCACCGATTCACACTTACCACTTCACACGGGAAATAAAACGCAGGCACCCATGATCAAAGAGAGCTAATCTTTTCATGTCTTCCACTCTCAATGGCCAGGTCTCACAGCCAGCCATAAAGGAGGACGGAGCAGACTGATGAGCAGTACACCCGTCTATATATACATATATATATGCATATATAGACTGCTTGCATTTCGAGCGAAGCATACAGATTTCAACTTCAAGAGGTGAATTTCCAGTAGCGGTAGTTTTGATCAGATGGAAGAGATTTGCCAACCGCCCTTTCAACCTTCCTTCTTTCTCGGGTTTCCTACCAGCCAGTAAACTAAACAAGATTCACGAATGCATCGACCGGGAGTCGAATCCGGACCTCTTGTGTGGTTTTTGAGCAGTCTACCCTTGAACCATCACCACCACCAAGATACAATATATCAAACATACATGATCATATTCATTGAAGATCATATACATATATGAATTGTTAATTCTTACCATTAGAAAGCTTTAGAAGATGAGAAACATTTCGTTTAATGATAGTGCAAAATCGCCAACTTCGTACAAGAGGATACGTAAGTGCTCGCCTGTAGAATGATACAAGAACCTCAGGTAAAGAGTGATAAACCTAAAAAATAAACAGAAAAATGCTTTTGTGTTAGCCATTTTTCATGCCTCTCTTATATTCAATGTGTCATACACCAATAAGTAACTATTAACCTGGATAATGCATCCAACCAATAACAAAAAGAAAACACTTCGAGAAATATATATATATAACAGTTACCTCGAACCACGAAAGTGTAGCTGCTAGTTTGACAATATTCCATCCAGATTCACTCATTTCATCACCTTCACGAATTTTAAAATCATACACATATGCAAATAATAAATCAAGTAAGCCCAAGTATAAAGATTTCTCTTCCTCAGCACTCTCCGGTGGAGGAGGAAGTCGGCGAGATGAGAGAGTGATTAAACGATGTCTTTCATCTAAGGAGAAATCTGGAGAATCATTAATTGCCCAAGGAAGATCAACGTCAGACATATGCATCCAAGAATCTGGCTCAAAATAATCTGCACTGTATTGTAATCAAATAAGAGAGAAACATAATAATGTACAAGTCATAAGAAAGGAATATGTTAATGGTTTATGTGGGTTATTTATTAAGAATTTAAAAAACAAATCACTTTCCTCCCAGTATCATAGGTTATGGATCTCTGTCAAATATTTTAGTATCACTTCCTCATGTTCTTATCATCACGTAAAAATGCTCATACATAAAATGAACTTTTAAAAAGGTTAGTTTAACTTATAATTATTATCAGGATAATTAGTAATTTGTTATCCGACCTAATAAGACGACCCATATTCAAGCAGTACATCTGTTTACTATTATTATTTGTTTTATTCCTTTGCGTTTCCAATGAAACACAAGAATTCAAGCTTTCAGCTTTCAAGTTTCAGCAGCAATAGTGTCTTTTTTATAGGGCGGGTTTGCCAACCTAACGCCTAACTTTTCTTCTTTACCAGGCCTATTACCTGATAGGCGTGGCAAAGAAGTACGTCGGCCAGGATTCGAACTCCGGACCACGTGCATGGATGGCAAGCATTCTACCCGACTAAGCCACCGATGCATCCAGCACTTAATTATAAACAATGTTAACAAAGTATAATTTTCAAGTGTTGGTTTGTAGGGGTTTGATTGGTGACAAGATTTCATCATGAGCTGAAATTAGTTAGAGAACCATTGGAAAACCTGAGAGTACTGGACAGCTTTTTCATCCTCATTTTGGACTCTTCAGCAGTACGTACCCACCGAGGCTCGAACCCAGGACCTTCCGGTTACAAGGCAAGCTCGTATACCATTAGGCCACTGGGACCCGATGCAATGGACCATGAATTATAACTTCTGCCAATTCACGACATAGTGCGACCCCTAGCCATGGGCCATTGGATCGGGTTCAAGTGGCTTAATGGTCTACGAGCTCTCCTTGTAACCAAAAGGTCCTAGGTTCGAATCCCGCCAGGGTGCATACTGCTGAAGAGTCCCAAACTAGGACGAAACAGCCGTCCAGTACTCCCAGGTTTTCCAATGGTTCTCTAACTAATGTCAGCTCATGATGAAATCCTGTAAAGTATGATTTATATGAGCACGGACAGAACAAACATTGATGCAAAATAATATCGATCCATTTTATTTCGCTGGTTCACTTCAGCTGCGTACAATGTACAATATTTAATAAATCCCGCTACAAAATAATTTTAAGGTAGATACATTTATTGATATAAGTTAATTTTGTATTTCCAGTTGCCTGATCATATTGGACTGAAATGTTCAAATCTTCTGGACATGTTGGCCTCCAAGTATGAACACTTCGATAGTGTCTAGGAATTCAATGGACAGTGTGACTAGTAGTGGTATCCAGGATGAGTATTTCGTCCATCCTAGAAGTCGACATTTACATTCTAACTGGATATCCAAACTAAAGTAGATAAAGTGAGCTTTGAGTCCTCCGAACACTAGTTAAGTCGACTGTTTAAACTAACTGAGTCACTTTTTTCACAAAAAATAGTAGTAAAGGTTAAAAAAAACGATTACGCTAAACAAGTGAGATACTGTTGTCTTTTACAATTAGTTTCCAGTACGAGACTTTGAAACTTCTTTGCAGAATAACGGGTGATTAAACTGTGGTAAAATTTCGATACGGTTACTTATCTGCAGTAATTATTCAAGATTAATGAAAAAATCTGTATGAATTTAAATAAAAATATAATCTCATTTGACTGTAGGCCTATAGCTTATTGGTTTAGATAACCTTCTTATCAATAGGCGGTCTCAAGTAAGCATTCCGTTTCACCCACCAAGGTTTCAGCAACCAGACAGTATTATAAATATTTCTCAAAGAGAAACATTGGGTCCTACGAAAACCTTACTTCTATATTTGTAAAAGTAATCCTAATAGGAACTATGCACAGTGGTGAAACGTATTTGTCTTTGATAAGCCTCTTCATATTATTGACTCTTTTATAACCCCAAAACAATATGCAATACTATATATATATATATATATATATATATTCTTTTTACCATATAAAAAGTGTATACAAAGCATATAAGGAGCGAATGAACGAAAAGTAGTACCAAATAAAACAGCAAAACAAATGAAAATATCTGGATACAACTTACAGATAATGATCAGCTGAAAACTTTTTCTCCTCTTCTATTTTCCTGAGTTCCGAACGTTTAGCAGCATCAACACCGTCTGGATCTGATAAGTCGACAGCATGTGTTAAGTCGGACTACCAAACAAAATAGGAAAAAAATTAGTGCAAATAGTAGTTACAAAAAAAGCATAATTGTTGTGCATACGAAATACAAGCAAAATATTACAAGTCATCTGTCACATTCTCGTTCAGCTTTTCTACAGAAAATATAAATTTACGTTAACAAGTATATCACATTTCCGGTCAATATTTACTCCTTGTTTTTATACTGACTGACTGATTGGCTGACTGGTTTTAACATAGAACTTTGCACAAATGTGCAGCAGTTCGGGTTGTCACACTCCCTCCTTGCAGCACACAAAGCAAGAGAAGAGAGTAATGAGCAATAATAAATAGTAATATGGAAGAACAATAGAATTTTATTGGATATTATAAATCACAAAGAATGAATGCATCTAAGCCACTGAGAACGATTTCGAGCTATATCACCAATTGTCTACAGCCATTGGTTCTTGCCATCCCGAGGAACCTAACCAGACAGTCCACACACCCCTAAATGGCTCAAACTAACTGTGAAGCATTTTATGCAACGAGTCCATGTTTTGGTTCGACCACCACTAGCTCTTTACCAACGTGATCCTATATCAGCTAACATCTCTGTGGAGGAAGGCGATGACTGGGCATACGTAGCACGTCCTATCCATCTCAAACGATGTAACTTCACAACCTCACAGACTGATTTTTCCTCCTTACGTAACACTAGACCTCTAGTCTAACCTCACTATTACTTACCCTATTAGCTATCTAACACGGGAGATAGATCACCTATGATCAAAGACAGCTAGCCTTTTCATGTCATCTACTTTCAACGGCCAGGTTTTACAAACAGCCACAAAGGAAGACGGAGCGAGCTGCTGAGTAGTACGCACGTGTTTTGATCAACGGCCGGATATCCCATCCACGCCAGAGATGACTTTGGTTGGCAAATGCCACACGAGAAAGTAGATAAAGGTATATAAAATAAATCCATGTTATTAAATACAAAAAAGGTTATTCAAAACTAGATAAACTTAGTTTACATATGGTAAACATGGTAGGAGTATGAAAGTGTGTAGAACAGTTACAGTGACTGGGGAAGCAGATACGACTAGGTAACGACAGATCGACGCAAGTTATTTTCACATTTAGGAAATGTATACCTGAAGGAATTTTTCAACTGTGGCTTTACATATTCATGATTTTTCAGTACGATTTTATTTCACGGTATTAAATAGTATACCTACGATTAAATATTTATGATAAACGAATTGAGCATATAAATAACAAAACTGAACTTGCTTCAACTGTGAACAGTCCAGACTTAGAGCCACTAAAACCATAAGTTGGCTTCGAAATAATTATTTCTTCCTGTGTTGAATACTTATTTTCTGATGTGCTGAGCCAATCAAGTGACCAGTTTGTTTGTGGTGTCTCTGAGTCACTAAGTTCTTCAATTAAACTCTTCTGAGATTTAGGTGCAGGTGATGTTATCAGTAGTTTTGAAATCAAATCTAAATCTTTGAAATACCCAGGTTCTGATTTTTCCAGTGTGACGTGTACATCTCCATCAACGAACTCAAAATCAAATGTATCCTCATCCGTCACCACAGAACCAGGAATATCAAATCTAAACAGAGTTTATCGACTAGATTAAGAACAGGAACTCACTTAAGATAATATGGAGAAGAATCGAAATAAAACGTTTGATCCTCAACGCATACTTCCATTTCTGATATCTTTGCCAAAGGAGCGTGTATAACAACTTTAAGCTTTGTATCCGTTTGCTCCAAACGGAAAATTGGCGTCAGAACCATATTCTGGAATTCACAGAAACAATTGGTTGTTTAATGTTAGGATAATCGGACAAACAACTGGGGGTAATCTGAGCCCTTAAAACTTGTAAAAACTTTTAAGTTTCAAGGTATGCTGTATTCCTGCTTTAAGAAAAATCATGAAGTGGGATAAGTTTCAGTTATTCCTTCACTGTACACAAAATGAAGTGTACAGCTTTAAGCGGCGTAAAATACTACGGAAAAAATGAGATACAACACTCTGATCCCTTCACACAAGTGGAAAACAATTCGAGTACTGAAATAAAACCATGTGTTACTGAGCAACCGTTTGATCGTCTAATCACAGTAAAGGGGAATGATACTCAGGAAGGCTTCGTGTGCTTTTGCAAGTGTGTGGACGGTTGTTACTTCCCGGCTGCCTACACTGCGGAAGTTGATTAATTCGTTGGGTACCTGAAACAGAGAGAGGGTTAGTGTTGCGTGACCTCAGAGCCACGAGGACAACTGCTTGAGGCCGGTCACACACGGCCTGTATGAACTGGTTTCTTGGTTTGGTTCCGTATTAGTAAACTTACCACCGGTTACGGACCACCGTAGAGTAAGTCTGGATGTACAATTTTCGGGGTCGACCTTTTCTAACCTTCTCCCTCCGGAGTGGGGAGACAGCATAGCCGGCATGCTGGTCATCTGAGGGAAACACCTCACTGCTGTTACACCCCTGTTCCCCAGCAGTACGACTTCGCCCTCAGACCCCCAGCATAGTGTAAGAAAGATTCTTACACGATGCCAGTAACTGCTTTTAGTCTAATCGCTGTCCTAACAACCTTCCTGGCATGGTAGGACCTGCAGGAACATTTGTTCCAGCCAGTGGCTTGTTGGGTCATCGCGATGTGCAAGCCCGATCACCACGCTGAGGTAGCAGCTATCGGTCGGGAATCACTAGTTAGTAAATTACACTTGTGTGATGGCTGATGATACTGATTGGCTCACCAAATGCCGATACATTAAGCGGAATTTGAGTCCATGGTTAGGCAGTTGGAAGCCAAAGGCATAAACAAATAAGTTGCATTTCTTTTTTGACTTGCATCTATTAACAATCTAATGCATGAAACATTTTATCTAAATCACAAAAGTTTACATCCACTCTTCCAGCGAATACTGAAATAAGCCGCAAATAAAAACAATGCTCTCAAAATAGCCAAAGCGAAAACAGGCGATTTTAAGTTCAACTATTTGATGAATAAATGTCTGAAATTTATCTTGAAGATTGTTTACAATAGACAGTATAACGAAATTCGTCATTCAACCACCCATGTGCGATTCACTGACGAATCAACGCAGAACCTTACTCACATGCTCATAAATGCAAATTGCCACACCTTGATAAAGCACGCATAAAACAACAGAATAAATATGCAATGACACTGCAATTAATCAACATGTGTAGGATGGAGATGATAATTAAACTAAAATCAGTTACAACTTTCAAAACCTCGTAGATACCAAAGAGTGGACACATCACAGTGGATCATTGATTCTTGGAATCCTGAGAATCCAAGGCAGGCCAACTACACCTGTCTAGTTGGCTCATACTAAAAGTCAGTGGTTTCGTAGACTGCAACCATGTTTTTGTTTAACAGCCTACAGTTTTGTTTCAGGCAAAGTGGATTATCAAGTAACCCAAGTAATGACCACCTCAATAAATGAAACTTCCTAACCTTAACGGTCGACTGCGTTATATTACCTAGAAAACAAAGTTGTAAAAACCGTTAGTGGTGTACTTTTGACTCAAATAACTGACAATGCTGTTGATCAGCCTCTTGATTCTTGCAAGCAGTTACATAAAGTCATCTAGTCTAATACGGAATACCCTATTTATTCGCAGCTTTTCCCTTGTACCTCTCCAGGTAAAACCAGAAATTCCTTGATTTACGCTTGTACAGCAAAATACAAAAATTTCAACCAAACCATATAGAGTACAGATTTTGTGTGAAGAGGTATTTCAGGAAAGAGCGTACATACTTTTTAAATAAGTATACAGAAAATCATAACATGAACTTGTATTACACATATTGTTTATTTATTATTCATTATATGCCACTAACTTTCAGTTTTTCTGATCTTATTATCTCTACTACTTTATGTATTTACATATTTATAAAAGCATCTCGACTGTTTGAAGATGTGCAAAGGCTAAAAAGTTCGACTCCATAAAATTATTATAGTTTGGAATAAAGTAACTATATTATTATTATTCGAAAAACCACCAGCATATATGAAGTATCTGACGAACTTAATGGACAAAAAATAAGGATATACACTACAAATAGCAATAGTGAAGTGACGAAAATCAGTGCATTGCAGCCTATCTGCAATACAACACAGTTCAGCTAAAGTTCTACATGAGGAACGACAGTTATCGCGAATTTGAAGGATATAGAGTCCTTCAGTAGATTTAGAACAGTATTACACAAATGAAAGGCAGAATACTGAACCTAGTTTCTAAATGAGGAAACATATCACGACCTAGGTAATAAAGAAAAATTACAAGACATCAGTCTCATTGCACATTGTTTTTGTGAGGCATGTTGTGCTGTAATGTAGAGAAGTTACGGAAGTAATAGTGAAATGCAAATTTTCAAAAGATTAACTAAAAGAATAGGTGAATAATCTGATTTTGATGGTAGCTCTAGCTAATAAAACTACACAAACAAATTTTTACTAGTAACTGCCAATAATTGTCCTATGTTAAAAAAACTAGCATGTTTACTTAGGTTTTGGACAATCCATGATATAAATGATAGTGAAGGAAGCTTCCGTAAAACATTTTAAGATAGGGAAATTGAAATCTATTTGCAGGACTAGGTTGGAGTTACTGCTTTCAATAATTACAAAATTACAACCCTATGGGAATATACAGCCAATAGAATGTCGAGGTAGAATTAATTCCATAAGAAAGGAAAACACTAAACTCAGACATGAAGCTGACTTTGCGTACGACGACCACTAATCACAAGCAAAATAGAGATTCATTGATTACGGTTACTACTAAACAACATGGGACATTATTTATTAACTTCGCCTATACATGTCCTATAAAGTGACTCATTTTTCGAAAAAAAACTATGCCCATTCAGAAACTGTACCGGCGTAGATTAGAATTAACTAGGGGGCATTAAACTATCCTCGGGAATAGATTTGTAACTTCAAAAGAAATCCCTCCTCAACATCCCAAAAGATCCACATACAGTTTTAGTAACTGTTAAAATTCAGTAGTGCCACATAAGACTTCTGATTTATCTTAGTTGGTCAAAATTAACTGTTAACTATTACTGCTTACGGAAATTTACAAATAATGCGTTATAAGCGATGAACTCGTGATTCCAATCCAAGGTCACAAGCAGAAGTTTAAAAAGAAAGTCGTCATTCAACATCCAATGCAGATATAAGATTCAGAATTATTGGTTGAGGGAAGCAGGCGTGGAACCTATGTTAATCCTTTTCTGGAACATTTCTGTGCTTTCTCAAGCCATTCTAGAATGAATCAAATGAGGTTGTAGACCTCTGGGAGCCGGTCCCAGGAGTTTATGACTCGGAATGAGAACAAGTACTGAGCAGCATAATGATTTCCCATTCGCTTTTGAACTCTCCTGCTACGTCCTCTAATGTGTTCCGACTGTTTGTGCTGGCTAGTGCAAACCAATTTGATTTCTTTGTGCTCGTTTGCTGGTTATGAGATAAAGGTCCGCGTAGTTCTGTTTAAGCATCGCTGACTCCAAATGGGGCTGAAATTATCCGTCACTTATCAAGGTCATTGGTGGAGTGAGACGCTCGAAGGTCATTTTCGTCCATTTTAGTCGGCCATGTTGGATCGCGGTTCCGTAGCTGTTCGTTGACGCGTTTGTTGTTCCGTTTATCCTGCCGTTATACACGACTTATCTTGTTGCGTATCGTTCACAAATGTTGCGTTTCACCTCATTTTTTGTTTCCGTTGCTGTTAAAATGAATTATTTCTTTGGTTTCGAAAGTTTTCACTACCAGGCCAGTGCATTCATTTCGGTGTAAGTGTTTTCATACCTTGCATTCATGCGGCTTTCAGTGTTTTAGTTGGTTTTCAGCTGTTAGTGAATTAGTACTGTGTAGAGGGTTTTGAAATTGTGCACATGAAGATGTTTGGCTGTCAGAAGCAGTTGTTTCCAGTCCATTAGTTGGTTGCCGTTACTATTGTTGGTTCAGTTACTTGCATAACATGTAGAAATCTGGAAAAAGAGTGTCTTTTTCGTTCATGTTTGCAGCATACAACAATCTGCGAGTGAATCTGTTGAAGAGAGCACCATCAGAGTTGGTATTAGCAAGGTTTTCGAAGTACAAATTAAACCCAGAGAATTTAGAACCTGGGTTGAAGTTGAAAATGCTTTGAAGCTTTTTGAGAATGTGAATATACCATCCGTGTGTCTGCTATCATTTAAAAAAATATATTGTGAGAGAATCTAAGCCAAATAAGGTTGAGCCGCATGAAAAGTATGAATCTGTTGTGCTTGTGTATATTTTGGGGGAACTGAAAGAACCTGGAATCCCTGAGGGTAAGTGTTACTTATGCTTATTATTGCTTGATGTACTAGATCGCAATAAATGAACTAGGACTACCCGTAATAGAGCCAGTGTTAACATCCATTCGATGGGTTGCAAAACGGTTTTCAAAGCGGATAAAATACGGTGATCTGGTGACTGTACAAACAATCCCAGTTAGAGGTAAGACATTAATTAGGAAGAATAACGTTTCGGGTTGTAGTCTACGATTGGTGGTTTCCTCGAAGTTGTGATTCTTCCGTGACTATAGACACATATGTTCACGATCCTAAAAAAAACTAAATAAATTATCCTTGAACCAGTAGTCTTCTTTTCTTCGGCGAAACATCCGTTAATACGACTATACGATTAGGTAGCGAAGTAAGATGTTATGTGACTGAGAATCGTGGTTGTTGTGTTTCTGACTAATTTCGCACATCTGACTTATAACCGCATGGAGATAGCGTTTTCCTCATGGTACATTATGATATCTAGAAATCATAAGCACGCTGCCATCGGTAAATTTATTTTTACTTTTTAAATGGCTGCAAATAGTGAGTCGTTTGCGGTGATAGGATGAATACCTCTGAACGTTTTTTTGGAGACTAGGGTATATTTAATTTTTTCGAGTAAGGGACGATCTTTTTACCAAGAAAGTTCTCGGAATTTTCGTTATTCAAAGATAACGCTAAGTTGCCCACTAAGGTGGTAACTATAGGAGATAACCTTCAGCGGAAACTATATTAATGTAGTTTTAGGTAATGCGTCATAGAAGTAAGCATCGTAGGTTAATTGTGTCTAAATGTATTAAACGTTGTATAACTGATCAAACCATAGTTCTTACGTGCGAGTTAGTTTTATAAATAATGAATGTACCGTACAAGCGTCTACCGTGATTTGCATACCTAGCTCATAAACATTATGCCTGCATGTGGCATACATTTAGGGCCAA